ACGTTCCTTTAATGGAGTCTTTCTTCATTTTTTAGAAGAGGTAGAAGCATACAAAGCCCTGTAAGAAGCTCATTTAGGAATTTATGAGGCATATCAATCTAGAGCCAAGTTGCACTCCCAAATCAAAAGAATAGAATACTGTTGGCCAACAATGGTGAAAGATAGCATGGACTATGCTAAAAGATGTCAAGCATGTCAATTTCATGCTAATTTCATTCATCAACCCCTTGAGCCACTCCACCCAATAGTTACATTATGGCCATTTGATGCTTGGGGACTTAACTTGGTTGGATCATTGCTTAAAAGTTCAACAGGGCATCTTTACATACTTGCCGCCACAGATTATGTTTCAAAGTGGGTAGAGGCAGCATCTTATCTAGAAGCAAAGAAAGAAACTATTGTTACCTTCATTAGAACAAATATTATTTATCATTATGGCGTGCCACAGTGCACCATAACTAATAATGGAAAATAGCTCGCGATGGAGAAGTTATGTTCATAGTGTAACTTCAAACAACATAATTCTTCCATGTACCATGTGCCGGCAAATGGCTTGGCAAAAGCTTTCAACAAGATTTTATGCAATTTTCTCAAGAAAGTTGCTAATTACGTAAAGAAAGATTAGCTAGAGAAAATAGGGGAAGCTTTATGGGCTTATCGTACAACATTTCATACACTTACTCAAGCTACTCTGTACTCACTTGTTATGGTGTAAAAGTTGTTCTCCCACTAAAGCATCAAATTCCATCTTTGAGAATTGCAATTTAAGAATGTCTTTAAAGTGAAGATAATGTTCGCTTACGCCTTGAAGAACTTGAAGTGTTGGATGAGAAAAGGTTGGAAGCATAGCAATGCTTGGAATGTTATCAAGCTCAATTATCCAAAGCTCTCAACAAGATAGTTAAACCACAATCATTACAAGTAGGAGATTTAGTTCTTATTATGAGAAGACCCATAAACACTACACATCGTATGGGTAACAAGTTCGTCTCAAAATGGGATGGACTATATGTTGTTCAAGAACTCTACAACAATGGTGCATATGAGATTATGGATCAAGATGGAGTAAGAGTTGGCCTAATCAATGGCAAATTCTTGAAGCACTACTATGCTTGAAGGTCATATGCTCCTTGGCAAGAGCTTAAACTGCACAAAAAAATAGCTTGCTATGCTAAAAATCCTTAATAGGACGACTTAGGCAAAGTTTAAGGCAAAAAGAAAAAAAGCCTGTTAAGTTGAAAATCCTTAATAAGATGATTTCGGCAAAAGTCAAGGCGAAAAAAAAATTGAATTACATTATAACTTAATCCTTTTTCATATTAGGAGGTACATAGTCAGCTTGGTCCCATTCTCAAGTTCAGTTACATCAAGAAAAAAAAATTTCTTGTATTAAGCATGGCTCAATTCTTCATAATGATGAAGCTACCAAGATAGAAGATAAAAGAATAAATCAAGGTTGTATTTCTCCCTGAGTTACGTGATTTAATTAATTAAATTGCAAGTGAAACAAATTACAATCCTAACTTGAATTGTTTTAAGGATCAATTGATGTCCAAGAAAATTTTTGGAACATAAAGTATCTTGAAGGTTTCATAGGATTTTCTTTTAAATTTCATCACAAGTAAAGAAAAGAAAAAGAAAAAAAAAGTGATATTTATTGCTAATTCGAAATGCATTAGAATGCGAAAGAAAATTTTAAAGGTATAAATCCTAGAAAAAAAGTGCAAATAAAAAAAAGGCTACATGAATAAGGAAGTAATCAAATCAAGACTTTCACTTGAAATTTTTTAACTCTTCGTGAAAAGATTTAGGTATAATCTACAATAATTTTAAAGAATTAACTTCGCTTTCACTCAAACTAGGAGAACTTGATGGAAGTTATCTCCTCATTAATCTTGGAAATATTAACTTCCTTTTTTTGCACCTTTTCCCTTTTCCCATTAGGAGAAGATTCAATGACATCTTTCTTGTGACACAAAGCATTCAATTCCTTTTCAAGATTTGTCAATTCAGTTTGCTAATCATCAACATGCCCAACAGTCTGATTAGGTTCTTGAAGCTTCTCAGTTTAATCTTATTGTAGACGTACTACTAAAGGATGGTTTGAGGTCAAGAAGTTTATGAACTTATCCAAGGTATTCTTCAACTATGTTCTTTATCAAGGTTGAATCAACAGTCTCGTTGTGGGATAAAACAACCTTTTCTTCATATATTCATTCTTGGAGAGAATGACAAGATATTTGTAGTCTTTGAAGTATACCATAATGATTCTAAATTGTGTGCTATTATAAAGAACACCCCACAAGGATCAACAACTGCTATTATAAAGAGCACCCTCCAAAGATAATAAATTGTGTGCTATTATAAAAAGCATCCCCAAGGATTAACAAGTGCTATTATAAAGAGCACCCTCTAAGGATAAAAAAATTGTGTACTATTATAATAAGCACCCCCAAGGCTTGACAAGTGCTATTATAAAAAGCACCCTTCAAATTGTTATCAATTTCTTCCACTTCAATTTAAACTTGTCTTGACTTGGGATTTAACTATAAAAAAAAGACAAATTAAAAAAAAGTAAAAAAAAAGGGGCAATCATAACGTGGCAATGATGGATCTTTAGCATGGTAATTTGAAATTGTAACGTGCAGGAGGTTGACTAAGTAAGGCATCCTAAAGGTTGGCAACATGCATGGCTTTCTTGACTCAACTATCAGCTTTCAAGGTGGCAAGATAATGTGGCTTGCATGATTTTAGCATGGCAATTCAAACAAATGATAGTTAGCATAATTTCCTTCCCTAGATGTGTAATATGGCAAGAATACAAAGTGGGTGAGCCTTTTAACATGGTAGAAAGTTGATTTAATGTGGACACTAGCCAATTCTTGAAACCTTTGCTTGGTTTCATAACATGGCAGAAAGGTTACGTGAATCAAAAGACATTATTAGCCAATTCTTGGCTTCTTTGAATGTTTACCTAGTTTTGTATCTTGGCATGAAATTCTCAAATGTAGCGAGATTTGGATAAACAAGGTGGCAAGATAGTAAACTATCAAAATAAGAAAAAAAAATTTAGTCAAATTATTTTGAGGCAGAAGAGAACAAAATGGGCGGCATACTTTGAAGAATTTTTCTGCTAGCTTATGGAACACTCGTAATTCTTAAATTGATTCCAATATGCAAAAAATTTACAAGGAACCTCTCTTTTTACAAAGTAAAAAGAGAGAGAGTCCTAGTTGATTAAAATAAGCAATACCAATTGCAATATACTTCTTCCAGGATTATAAGTCTTATTGCAATATACTTCTTTCAAGATTATAGTCTTATTGCAATATACTTCTTCTAATGGTTTTATTGCAATATACATCTTCCCATGTCATAATTCCGTTACCTAAAGGTAAGTATAATTCGAATTTAACTTGGATTGCAAGTATACCAAGCCATGCTAGGATTTTAAGAAATCCTAAGAATTTTTTTTAAAAAATTTCAAGACTTGTCCACTTGCCAAATTCAAAATCATGTATGAACAAGTCTCGAGGGGGCATTTGTAGAAGGAGAAAAATTATGATCCAATTACATGCTACCATGTGGACTTGATAATGCCATAACCATATAATTAATTTATTGGTTGGATTATTTCAAAGACACATAGTTGAACACCTATGTGTCATATATTTATCTCTTAAGATAATTTGAAGATAATATTTTGATTGAACCAATCAAAATTTAATTATCGGTCATTCAATTTGTCTCTAAATAAGTCAAGATAATTTAGAGATAATATTCATATTTTTGACTAATCAAAATTTAATTATTGGTTATTTAATTTATCTCAAATAATTATACTAATTTAGAGATAAAAATCAAATTAGATTATTTAATTTATCTCTAAATAAATTAAGATAATTTAGAGATAACACCTAACTTAGCTCAATCAAAATTCAAAGACTCAAAGTCTGACCAACCAAAAGACTTTCAATGAGTCATCATAATTTATCTCTGATTAAATTAAAATACTTTAGAGATAATTTAAAAAGATTGCATTCTCATCAAAGTCTCTCACCTAGCATTATAAATATGGGCTCCTCTAAGCCATTTTCATTTATTTGGAGGCATTTGAAGATTGGGAGTATTTTAAAGATCAAAAAGGATAGAAGATTTCTGAAGTGAAGATCAAGCGGTAGTGCAATTTGTGATCAAGATCAAGCAACAGTGAAGTTCCTGATCAAGTCATCAAATGAAGTTCATGATCAAGTTATCAAGCAAAGTTCATGATCAAGAATAAGTCATGAAGACCCTTGAAGCAGAGATATCAAGCGTAGTTGGTGATTAAGATTAAGTCGTGAAGATCCTTGAAGTGAAGATATCAAGCATAGTTTGTGATCAAAATTAAGTCGCTAAGACTCTTGAAGCAAAGATCAAGTGAAGTTCGTGATCAAGACTGTATCTGAATTCATGACTCTTGAAGTTGAAGTAAAGAAATTAATCAGAGGAATTTTCAGAGATTATAACTCACATCAATTATTTGTATTTGTCCCATAATTTTTAAATCATGAAATTTTGATGAGAATTTTGTATGTACAGTTTCCAACACAACCGCAATTCACAAGCCTAGAGAACTTGATTAAACATATATCCAATTAATAAGTTAACTTGATCTATGATCTTACCTAAAATGGATTTATGCATATTAGCAGAGAAAAACTAGAATGATATTCTAGTGAATTAAAAACTGCTTTTTTTGGGGTTAGTGGAGCTTATATATATATATATATATATATATATATATGTATATATGCTACTTTTCAGAAAAAAATGCTTGAGTGTTATTACTAGAACAGTAATGTGGAATATAAGAAATGCCAAATACAAAATTAAATATTATTTTTATATTTGTTTTTAGGAATCTTGCACCGGCAAAGTAAGCAAATAAGTATGGATAGTAATGAAATGACATATATGACCTTTCAATCATAAAAAGAACAAATAACAATTTCGTTCGTAATATAAGGATAGTACACATTTACAATACAATGCTAATCCATTTTTGTGTTGGAACTTCAAATGTATCCATTGAATTACTTCACCCTCATCATTACAATTGAAAATCTTACCTTACCGAAACCGGACAAGTGAATCAACAAAATTAATTTTTGTGTGTGGGGTCTAAAATCTGATCACATATCCAAAGAATACAAAAAAGTGTAGAGTTACCTAGCTAATTATGGTATGTGATATAATTTAGACGGTTTCAAATGACTGGTGACATTGAAGTATTTCAAGGTGTGAATCCACTTTTCTTGATTCTTCAACAAATGCACAGCGATTGTGTCTGGCCAGAGCTCATGCGTGCACCTGGTGGGCGGGTCAGGATAATTGTACATAGACCATTTGGCATTGAACCTGTTTTTAGCCCGGTGCCCATCGCGGATCCATTCTCCGAAAACCTTATCCTCGGGGCCTTCCAAGTGATTTCTTGGAATATCTGATTCCCTAATCCATTCAGCAATATCCCATGAAACCAAATATCCCATGCCAGACATGTAATGAACAAAAGGGTCCATGCTGGGGCATGGAATAACATACCCATAATACAAATCTTCTCTCGGCAATGGCCTTAAAGACTCCACCAAGTTTTCCAATCTTAAGTATGTATCATCGTCTCCTTTCATCACGTAATGGTAAGGAGGGTAAGGCCTATCCGAGGAGTTGAAAATCTCCGGTAAGCTCGAAAAGAAAGTGTAAGTCTTGCCTTTGTTCATGTTCTCTTGGCAATTGAGGATGATAATATCATCATATCGCATTATCTCAAGTGCAACCAACACCTTCTGGTCTTCCTTTGTTAGGTTGCAAAAAACGAACCTCACATCAACTTGTACGCCAGCCACAGACTGCGTGCCGTATATGAGGCGGAGGAAATGGCGACGTTGGTATTGATCAGGAAGTGTTAGGATTCCGATGAGAATACGAATGTCATCGGATGAAGAATTTGATGCAACGGAATGTGAAGAGGAGTTGTAGAATTGAGGAGGGACATTGGAAAGAGCACATCTGCCAAACTTCAAAAAGCTGTCGAATCTAACTTCATTGATGGAAGCTAATGCACAAAGGAACAGGATTAAGAAGAGATATGAGAGAATGAATCGTTTTCCTTCGGATGATCTTGATGAAGGCTTCATTACTAATTTGAAATACTTGGGTTGGCTTCCTTTGTTAGAGATTTTGTGAGAGGGGGTGCGGGTTCCAACGAGAAGCTTTTAGAGTCTAAAAGGAGGAGAGTAATAAATTCCAAAAATTCCTTCGATGCAACGCATGCACTAGTCGTAACTTTCGTGCTATTTGGACTACAAATTTGACTTTTCAACCTGCAAGGAACGTGATGGGGGAAAAAGCTTCAAGTACATTGAGGAAGGAGGCACGAAAAGCATGAATATACCCTTGTGCCCTTGGTGTGAAGTGGGATACTTAAAAAACGCTCCCGGCGGATGTCCCAAAAATAACCACGGGATGTGTCAATAATGCGAGGAAACATAAATAGTGATTTGTTATATAAATAATATAAACTTTAATATCTCACATTCAGATTATTACTTTTTTAAACTCTTTGACATCTCTATATATTATTGTAATCTGCTAGTAGATATGACTAAATTGTAGTAAGTTCATAATCTAAATAATATTCCTAAAATCCAAGTACGCATCTGAACAACTGTTAAGAGAGTTGCAGAGTCAAAAAGGTTCATATATGGGTCGGTTAACAATCCACCAAAGACTTAAAAACAAGACTTGAGAAAACCGTGCTTAATTTATGAAAATATCCAGGAGTTTTTAGTCTATTCACCATATTCTTCTTTCCCCACCTGTAGGCTGATATTGTGTGCTCAAATTAAGAAATCAAATGCACAAAATGTTAGCCACAGGGAAAGTGGATTTAGGCCTAACGTTGGCTACACTTTTTTCTTGGCCGAGGCCTGTATCTAGCCAAAATCGTTCGGTCAACTTTCCGTAATTAGGTGCGTTAGCAAGAACATGAAAATTGAAATTCCTCGGACCTTTCTTTTGGTTAAGTTACCTACTCACCCTATACTTGAATCTGAAGAAAATGCCGTTGACCCCGGAAACATGCTAATCAATAGAAAATCCTGCATGTGAAATAGATTTGTCGTGATCCAAGAAACCACCGCTCCTTGATTGTTTATACGAGTAGTACAAATTAGCTGAAAATTTCCAGTCACAACCAATCTTAAGGCACCACGTTATGGCACTAACTTCACTTAACATTCATTAATCTTAAGACGGTAGCATAAACCGCAAAAGCAGATCCCCCACCAATCAATCTTCTTTTTCTAGAATAGCAAACTTATGTGGAATTTTCAAAGGTTAATTAAGTAGCTTTCCTCATATATGTAAATTGTGAGGCAAGGGCTGATTCCACCAGAAAATCGCCGCAGCACTTCCATGCTACGGCGACCGAATAGCCGTGACCCCCTCGTTTACACTCTCTCTTATTGTGCACTAATAGAGAATGGTATCAAATACAGAATCCCATTCACAGATTTGCATCACGTGACGGTGTCATTATTAACACCAATAGAAGAACTCACCTTTCCTATCACAGTCGAGTTTAGCATCAACTCCAAGGCTTCAATTCCAAATTTCCATTCCCCACTCTCCATTCATTCAGATTATAAACTGAAGTCGTGACAGAGCTTCTGCCCTGTTGTCCTGGCATTATCTACCTGTCCATCATAAGCATCTTTATAATGGATAATTACTCCAGCAGTAACAGGAATGTGTATCACATATCTCCTTGCCGTTAACATCATCTACTGGTCCAACCTTGTATTATCCATTGCTGCAAGGCCTAAAACTGGCCCCTTTTTTGGCAGTTGCCTCAGTTTGTCATGGTTGTTTGATGTCATGTCATCTTGCCCAGACAGAATTTCTTGCCTGAGTCTAACCATCACCAAATTCATAAGAGAAACAGGGAATTGTAACAGAAAAATATCCCCCAACGGCAAAACTTAGATATAATTACACCATTAGTCATTAAACTTTCATCAAATTTTTATTTTAATCATTTAATTTTAATTGGTTCTGATTAAGGGTTTTCTTTTTTATAATTAGGGAAAAGGGAATTTAAACTCTGCTCTTTAAATAGTGGGATCATGCATCAACCAATGAACTAAATACGCTTGTTTTGATTAAGTTGTTGAAATTTGACAAGTATATCAAGTGTGATGACACTAATAGAACTGAATAAAGGAACAGCTATCGCATAAGCTGATGTATCAATAATTCTGAATCAACTAATCAATGCACTTTAAAAAAAAGATGGAACAAGCTCTCAACTCCCACAACTTTCCACCCCTCTTTAACCCGTATGGGTTGGCGGTTGGCTGGCCACCAGACCCCTCAAACCAATTGCCAGTAAACCCAACATCCCTCACAGTAAACTAACCACCAATAGACAACATCCCTTACCTTGCATATTTGGTGTGGAAGAAATCTTACGCTCTACTTCGAGGAAGATCATTGGGACATTAACAGAAGAGGTGCTTGGATTAGTTGTTGGGCTTGAAACTTCATTTGATGTATTGAAAGCAATGGTTAATGCTTTTGCTCGTGGGTCTCAAGAGAGAATTTTTTATCTTCTATAGACTCTACAGACTCATAAAAAATGTTAAAAATAAGTTTGAAGTAAAACTACCAAAAGGGTGATGAATTAGTTGTGAAATAGGAATTTTCCCTTCTTCAAAAACCTTTGAGGTTGAATTTTAAAATAGAACAGCAAAACAGAGTATGAAATCAATAAGTGAAGAGTAGAAATATAAAAAGCACTTAGTAGGATTTTTATAAAGCTTCAGCCTTTCAAGGCCTATGTCTATTCCCTTGATACCACAAAGAGTTTGAATCTATTATCAGCTTGCCTTTTCAATAGAATCAAGCATAACCTTTATAGCATGCATTTTAACAAGATTAGGTGTAACCTTCACAACATGCCTTTTGCAGAATCAAGCGTAACTTTTTTCAAGACACAGCCTTTCTCAAGTTCAAGAATGAACTTTACACAAGATGCAACCTTTTAAAGGATCAAGCAAAACTCATCTACCTTTTGCTTGGAGGTATAACTAATAAAACAGTGGATTCTAAAGAATTTTTTACTCAAAAGTCTAAAAAGGTTGATAAAGAAATTTAGGATCAGAAAGATGAGAGCTTGCTCAAAGGTTATGAATGATGAAGGAAAGTTCAAGCTCACAGAATATCAGTTGAAGGATAAAAATGTAATCTTTAGGCTTCACTTTTGCTCAAAGATAGGATTTTTTTGCTTACAGCTTTTTCTTTTGTTTTTTTCGCTTTTCTTCTTCAAAGATGATCCAATTAGTTCAAAATCCTTTGTTTAATGTCTTCAAGGTAGGTATTTAACTCGAAGAGTGAATATCCAAAAAAGGGATGAAATGGATACTAAAAATTTTGGTAAAGGAAATCAACTAAGAATAGTCGACAATAGTAAAGTTACAGTCAATCCTTTATCAAAAATATGTTCTACAAGTGTAAATCAAATAAAAACAACAACTTGAGAAGAATTGTTCAAGGAATCTTTTAAATAAAAAATAGACAAGTAGTAAGGGTAGAAAAAGATTTAATAAACAAACAAATCAATAAGTGAAAAATGAAGATGAATAATACAAGCAATTTATGAAATGGATTTTCTTGAGATGAGATGTAGCAAAACAAAGTTATAATAAGAATGAGGACACTAAGTAAAAATTAAATCTTTTTCAAAACTAAATTTCCTACTTGTGTCAAAAACAAAGTAAATGATTTTTCTAAAACAAGTTTCAAAAATAAATCATAATGCACAAGAGTAAATCAAGACACAAGAATTTTATAATGGTTCAGCTTTTTCAAATATCTACATTCACTCCTTTGAAACACTAAGGAATTTCAAATTTACTCAAAGAAATGTGTTTTTTACGGGATCAAGCATTAAACCCTCACAACAGCTTTTTACAAGATCAACCAACAACCCTTACAATTTTCTTTTAATGGGAGCAAGCATAACCTATGGCTTTTAATGAGCTCAAGCATAAACCATACAAATGCATTTTACCGAGAGCAAGCACGACCCATGGTTTTTAATAGGCTCAACCACACACCCACACTAACATTTCAAGGAAGAGTTAGAACTTTTACAAGGAATAGTAAGAGCACCTCTAAAAGGTCAATTTTAGTAGTTTGGTACAATAGAGGAAGAATGCCTAACAATGGATAAAAATATTGGATATAAAGATTGAAGTGTAAGCATAAAGAAGGTTTAGCTCAAGTAGACTTGGTTTTGCTTGCTTTCTCTCTTTTCTTTTTAAGAGCATGATTTTCAATAGTTTGGCCTTTTTCTTTCTTCTTCCTCACTTTGAAATGCTTTTAAATGGTCTTTTATATAATTTGAGAAGTCTTGGGATCAGTGAAGGTGATTAAAGCAAGAAACTAGCCATTTATTTTTTTAATTTTGTGTCTACCGATCATCTATATAAAAGTTCTATAGTCGATCCACTTTCAAAAAGCTTGTATTTTTTACAGTAGAAATTAGAAGGTTAACTATAGCTTTGTTAGGATCGACTATGGCTTTCAAAACTACTCTTTTTCATGCATCAAAATCCTCAAGGTCAACTATATGGATGCCACGGTCAACCATGGCTTTGAAGAACTTCATTTCCACAAGCTCTTTACCTCAAGGTCAACTATAAGTGGCCAGGGTCGACTCTGGCTTTGTGTTCTTCAAGTTTTCTCGTCTGTTCTTGCCCGTTCTATCATTAGATTGACTTACCTTGTTCTAGGATTGATTAGAGCTTTGTTTCTACAAGATTCCTTGACATTTTAGCTTATAACTTTGGCCATATCTTTCATATGATCAATGTTAAGTTAAGAATGAATTTCTTTGCTTGAAGAAAGCTTGGTGAAGTGTAGATTGATGATCTTTGAATGTTTTGAGATAAACTTCATCACTTATGAACCTAACTTGCAATTTTAACATTTCAAGGATAAATGTTAAAAGGATTATAAACTCATACAAGCTTATAAATATAGTTTAATAACTTTAAGACTCAAGCTTGTAATTATGTAAGAACAAATGCATGAGAGTTAAATCATTTCAAAAACTTATCAAGAATCACTCCAATACTGTTCAAGCAAATTTGATCATTTTTTCGTAATGAAAACTATAATAATTTTAAAGCTAACAAAATGCATGAAACAATACTTCTTGAAATTAACAAAATATTAAATTATTTAAGGCATAAGATAACTTATAATTTGTTATCGGCTCGACCATCAAAGTCCTTAGTGGAGTTGCCAAATTGTTGTAATGTGCGAGTTCGAGAACCTGATCACTCAATATAGAATGGAGTCAGCACCAATCTTTTCTTTCTAGTAAGATGCGATTGGCCACTTGTTAAAGTAGTTCCATTCGACGAGGCCCTAAATTGGTTTTGGTTTTGTCTAATGAACAATAACCTATCTATGAATTTTAGAGTTAGGCTCGAGAGTACAATTACGCACAAAAAAGGATTAGCACCCTCATGACGTCCATTTAAAGAATGATACCAATTAATCACGTGTTATCCTTACTTAGCCTTAATTCTTGATTTTATCATTAACTTTCCTTGATCATTGTTCATTATATAATTTTCAATTTTATTCACGACCTAAAGTCCATTTGTCTATATAATGTGCATGTCGTGCAATTATGAAATGCATGGTATAGAGCTCAACAAAACATCAAATGAAAACCTTTTGTTAAGGATAGTTTCTAAATCTGTTCATCATATTGGTGGGACCTAGGGACACTCTCAAACCTAGGGAATTATTCGAGAAAACTTACCTTCACAAGCTTATCAAACAAATCCCATCATCGGGGTAATTGTATGTGGGTAAAAACAATATTTTCATGTACACAAACCGGTAATTATATGTGGGTAAAAACAATATTTTCATGTACACAAACCCTAGTATGAGTAAAGATCTCTTATTAAGAACATTCTCCAAGCCTTCCCATCAAATTGATGGAACTCAAAAATATCTTTTTACCTAAAAAATCTTTCAAGTGAACTCTCCTTAAAATAATTAAAAATTAATTACTTATTAATATTTTAATTGAAGAGTCTAAATACCATCATTATCAAACTATCTAACATAAGTCACTGTCATTAAAAAAAATCCATCGAACTTTTTTGTTTTTTGTATGTTATTGGTACGTACATTCTTTTTTTCTATTCCAAGAGGCGGTGGTACATCAGTTACCTCTGTATAATCTAACGAGTATATTGACATTTTACTATATATACGCGTTTTAAACGATTACAGACATCATACCCGACGGTTCCCTTAAGGAATAAAAAATTTGACCCGACACTGACTTTGGATAAATAAAAATAAAGAGGGAAGTAAATAAATAAAAAAAGGCAGACAAATCTCTATACAGAAATTTTAAATAGAAAAAGGCAATCACTGATTACAACAGAACATATTCAAAGAATGCTTTTCCTAGCAATCTCTTAGGAAACAATAAAAATTTTCAAAAAAAAACTTGAAAAAGAATTACAATTTGAAATCAAATTTGCAATAATGGACAACCTCTAATAAAACGTACGGGGGTCCATTACCAAATGCTGAGCATTGATATTGCAATACAAACTATTCACACTGAATTTAATCATCAATAGCCATCAAAATCTGCCCCAAAAAAGCTTCAAATCTTTTTCCAAAATAACTAATAATGAACCAATAAAGAATGAATGAATCATGGAGAATTGTAGTCAAAGCTGTGCGCACGAAGGTATTTTAGCTGCAAAGAAACCTGCCTTTCGATCTGGAGTTGTTTATGAAAATTTGCAATGAACATCTCCGCTCTCTTATCAATATCATCCTCCGATGGATAACTTGTTGCCCTAGCGAGTCTCCTAGAATAAGAACCCGAATCATCCGAATCATAGTCGTCTGTACATGCCCTCAGCCCTGGCCTATCTGTGAAGCTCAGCCTCCGGCTGCTAGGAGAAGCACTGATCATGGAAGCGATACGCCAGTGATTCATATTGAAATTTAGCAAGAATTTTACCTTCTTCACGGCCCTCCTTAGGCGGCTAAGCAAAGACCACTTTTCCATGGTATAAACAACTTTCTTTGTATATCGAAGCAAAAATAAACAAATTGAGTGTTGCAGGTTGAAGTTTTAATGTGTTTGGCGAGGCTTATATATTGGTAGAAGATAAGAAGTGTTGGATTATGGTGTTTACACATTTATACAGAAAAGGAGTATAAGAGGCTTCTTACAAAGAGTTAAGGAAAAGGAAGCCGCCGGGCAAGTTTAGAAGAAAATCCAAAAATGCGTATTAAAATGGACAAGCGTGTCAGGGTGACAGCAACAAGATAAGTATGCAAGATTAAGAATATACTCGGTCAAAAGTTTGATTGATTCTATAATAATAATAATCCTGTTTAATCATACAAGTATGTGCAAGAAATGGCAAGGAAAATTCTTTTAACGAAGACTAGTCGCCAGCCGAAAACCTGGCATATCGTAAAATTATATACAAATATACATGTTGCCAACTTACCTTGTTGGGGAATCCTGGACTTGATCGCTACAACTCCTCGTTCTAAAATTCTGATTACGCTAGCTACTAAGTTGAACCCTCGTAAAGGGTGGAAAAGACAGAGTTTGTTTGCCTTCATAAGCAAGTAAGCAATGTATAAATGTGGGATTCAAATCCACCTCATATAAATATCATAGAATTTATTTTTTATAAATATCATGCATTTTAAAATTGTACATATCTTATTCAAATTTATGTACAATATGATATTGTAAAAATATGACTTTGACGCTGTAATAATTTAACATGATTATCCTTATCATCTGCAAAAGTAGTCAATCAATGGATATAGCACGAAGTTTTTTACTGATTTCTATGCCGGTTCGTATTTGTAATTCAAGTGTTCTACATCTTGCGGCGCCTAAAGGGCTGCGGGCAAATTGTTGCAATCAATTGGTTTTTTAATGCTTTTGTTAATAAAATCCACGAAGATGCCAGCGTAAACTGAAATGGAATATATAATTTAATACTTCGAAGCATTGTTTGTAACAAATCCACTCAGTTTGATGCCATCACCAGTTAGCTTCCGATTCACCTTTTTTATACTATAATTAATCCATTCTGGTCCTCCTCGCGCGCATCCGTTGACTCAGTCTGCTTGCCATTACCGCCCCGTGCTTTAATTCTTAAACTAAAAGTCCAGGACTCTAGCCTATCAAGCTTCGGCCACTCGTCAACTCTCTATAACTCATGTTTTAATGGCAACAAATTATTGGATAACGAGGAATTATAATTAACTTGGCTCTACATCCAAGTTTTTCATTGTTCGGGTTAGAGCAGAGGCTTCATGCTTTGCGAAAGTTGGACTTCTCAAAAGAAAGATTAAAAAGTGTTTGAAACTCGAACTGCTCGAAACAAAGTAAAATATGTTTATAAAATTATTATTTATTATATTTATGTTAATCATGAGTAGTCGCACAATAAAAAAAACGAACGCAAATTCAGGGAACCTGTTGTAGAAAATTGGGAGAAACTTTCAGGAACAAGTATAATATTAGTTTCCAATAAGAAGCAACCATCGAGTCAAATCTTAAAGGTAAATTATAATTTTAGGTTGTGGAAAAATTTAAGGAAAGAGAAACTTGAAGAAAAATGGAATTTAAAGTAAAAAGAAAAAAGTTTAGTACAAACAAGTCAATTTACTAACTGGAGTGCTATTTGATAAATTGAAATTTTGAATATTAAAAACTGTGATTATTTTTTTTCTGATAGCAAAATGTGATTATTTTTATTATTGAACTATTAAATACTTCTAGTTATTTTGTCCAATGTTCGTAGGTAAGAAAATAGTGAATACATTTTTGATTAGTTTTTTTTTTTTGTAAATTAAAACAATATCATTACACGCACATATGTATATATATATATTGAAAACATTAAAATTACATAGTTAGATAGTCAACACGATAAAATAAATTTAACTATAATTAATAACTTAATACAATGATTAATTATTATTATTTACTTAATTAATGCATTAATATATTTTTAACATTTTTATTGAAAATGTTTTATTAGAAAAGTTTTATTGAAAATGTTTATAAATACTTGTTATCAGTTTAACTGAGTCACCAAAGTTATTGAAAAAATAATTTATAAAATGGTAAACACTCGGATTAGCAAGCCTAGTGGATTTGTTACCCTTACTAGGGATGAGCAAAAATCTATTAAAATGGATTTAATCAATTTAATTGATAAAATTTGATTAATTCGATTCAATTAATTCAATTAAAGGATTCGATTAAAGTGAATCATTCAATTAAAAAGATTTTGTAATCACATAACTTCTATAAAGAAAGTCTTGTAACTTAGTTACATAACTTCTTCATACTTACATATAAATTAAAAGTTTATATTGCATCAAACAAATGACAAAGAGCTTGTTATCAATTAGCATTTTCTTTTCCCTTGATTTCAAAATTTATCTATTTATTTTTATGTATGTACATATATAATACATGTCAATATTCAACTTCCCAATGCAATAAAAGAATCAATTTATACTTTTATAAATTCTTAGGAAAACATTAATATCATTGATATCAAACACTTATAAAAAGTTAACCATAATGCAAATAAAATATTCATGCTCTTTTATCACAATTTATTTATCTACAAAATATGTAACTATCATCTCACTTATAAATTTTTTTTAAGCACCATCTTGCATTGTAATGCAACTTATATCACTTATAAATGTAAAAAAAAATTAATTAATCAATTTGTTTTATTTAAACAAATCAGTTAAAAAATTAAAAAGCACTTACATAAGTACTAAATGAATAATTAATTAATTAATTAAGAACAATTTATTCAACTCTTTTTGTCTCTTGATATTTTAAAAAATTATTAAAATAATTTGATCTTGTCTTAAAAATTAGGATTATAAATCAGTACATGAAATAAGATTTGTAATAAAATAGTTTAATAACGTCTATAATAATTTCTTTTTAAAAAAACTTATATCTCTCATATTTAAGGGATATATCTCGTAAATTAAATAATGTTAATCTTTTGTTTAATTCAGATATTGAAAATTAAAAATTTGATGAAAAGATAGCGTACTGCATACTTTCATTAATTATTCTAATATTACCCTAAATCTCCTTAGCCTCTAGATCAACAAAACCAGTAATTATCAACGTTTTTACATGCTTGACAACGGAATTCGCTGCATCGTTAGCATTTGGAATTGCTAACAATCAACATTTGCTTAGAAAACCTATTGATTATCCAAGATATAACAGGATAATCTATCAATAGAAATAATTAAATAGTAAAAAATGAACCACATCAAAAGCATATAATTTTATCAAGAAACATATGGAATGTCCCAAATAGGCACCCCTGAAGAGCTACATGCATAACTTACAATGAAGGTCTCCATCTGAGGCCTTCAATTGGGATGTTCTTTCAACTATGTTGTCTCTACTGTAATCAAAGGCCAACCGAGGGTCGAACATAGCTTCGAAGTTGTCGCTGCTTCCTTGCAAGAACTATATTCCAGTTAGCCATATCATTATCTGAGATGAACATTTACAAATTGAGCACATCATTTTGGCTAGCTCCGTAAACCAATTCCGCTGTCACCTTCCTCATCTTCCTTTTGCAATGCCCTTTAGCTCCTTTTATTATTATTTTTTTCCCTAGATTCAGTCCCTTGATCACTAAAGATTCGGGCTCCACTAGTTCACTAGCTAGGTTTCATTTTTTATGGGGGAATCGGGGTCTTAACGTGTTTTTTGGGGGTTAATGAAGAGCAGTCCTAGACTTAACGGCGTTTTTCGGGGAAAGAAAGAAAGAAAAACAAGAAGGCCGGAAATGAAGGCCCAATTGTCCTGACCCAGTTGGAAGCCCATTGACCAAAACAGCCCATTTAGTGAGGAATAAAAATATGGAAGATAAGAAAGGAGTGGCTCAGATACAACCCAGCCTATACCCGATTGGGCCAAACAAAGCCGAAACTACCTTAAGACAGATTCGGCTAAGCCCATTGGGGGTATATTTTCCCAACCCATGGTGTTTTTCTTATTTAATTTTTTTATTATGTACATATTTTAATTTATGAAATTATTAAAGCATAGTAATTAAAAAGTATAAAATTGACAAAACTAAATTCCTAAGTAATTTTAATAGTTAAAAACAGTAATTATTTAAATTTTCACAAGTGAATAACTTTGGGACTTTTCCAAAAGTGTTAAAGGAATCCAAACAAACTATTTTCACACATAGAAAAATGTACGTAACAAAAAAAGATGTATTGTAGATAAAATTGTTAATTTCATAATGACATTTGTTTGCATCATATATATTTCATTCTAACTATACAAATAAATGGAAATCAACGAATGATGGATTTAGAAAAAAGTTGTAGTGACGATTGTCTTGAAAATATCTATGTGAAGAAACGTTGGTGAAGTTAGAATTATGTTTAGGAAAAAATAAAAAAAAATAAAAGGTACAAAAAATGGAAATTAACCAATAATGGAATTTTAAGAATGTTGTAATTGACAATTTTCTTGAAAATTCTTAAGTGAGAAAATTTTTTAAAAATTCTATCAATAGTGTTGGAGAGTTTAAAACATTTTTCAATTTCATGGGTTTTCATTTACACTTAAAAAAATAGGAAATAAAAAAATTCATGGAAACGAAAAAATGGAAAAGAAAAGACAGAGAAAGAGAAATAAGGAAGAATAAAAGATTTAATCCAAACCTTTTAACAAAATACCAAATTAATCTGATGATAGAGTCTTTTCAAACGAATGAGTGATTTTCTTAAATACCCTTTAAGTAGGAAGATTTTGCCTAATTTTTCATCAAAAGTATCGAAAAAATTTAGGAAAAATTTTCAAAGTTTAAATTATAAGTAACAAAAAGAAGAAAAAAGATAATAATAAAAAGGAATAAATGGGAATTAAAAAAGTAATCTATGACTATTTGTCAAGGCTAAAATAAGATAATATTGTTGGTCGTAATGGTAAAGAGAAGTAGATAAAGTACAAATGTTTATAGTAGTTCGGTTCTCTTAACCTACATCCACTACCTTGATCTCTCAATCAAGGATTTTCAACCTAATTTCACTAAACTAATGAAATTGATAGCTTCCACCGAGTTTTTATAAGGTAAACTTCTAACCCAAACT